ACAGCATAGTGATTCAGTGATACATGTACGTGTATGTATTCCTTTTCAGACTCTTTTCCATTACAGGTTACTACAGGATACAGAATACAGGTCCCTGTGCTGCACAGTAGGACCTCGTTTTTTCTCTATTTTACACGTAGTAGTGAGTATCTGCAGATCTCGAACCCCCAGTTTATCAAAGTTTTCTAGTGGCTCCTGCTGTTGGGTGTCTTTTCATGTCTTCTGGTGAAGTGTCTGTTCAGATCTTTTGCCCATTTTGAAAACTGGGCTGTTTACCTTTCTTCTGTTGAGTTTGAGAGTCCTCCGCAGATTTTCAGCACAAAGCTCTGCCAGACGCAGTGTTTGCGGATCCTTCCATGACCGGTGCTGGCTTGTCTTCTCATCTTTCATGGACAGGACGGTTTCGTCTGGGTGAAGTCCAGTTTATCAGTGCATTCTTTTAGGCGCTGTGCTTTTGGGGTCACGGCTGAGCTTTTAGCTGAACCTGAGATCACAGATTTTCTTGTGGAGGTTTTGTAGTTTTATGTTTTACACCCCGGTCTGTGTCCCGTTCATGTTCCTCTCTGTATAAGGCACGAGGTTCAGCTCGGCCGTGCCTGTGTAGGACCCACGACTCGGTACCGTTCCCCTCCTCCTAGAGAACGTGGGTACCTTTGTCGCGGGCCTGCTGAGCACAACCACGTGGGTCTGCGCCTGGCAGGCGCGGTCACTGTGCCTCGTAGGAAGCCGGCATCAGGCGCTGTGTGGCAGCCTTTTCCTTGCCATTTTGTTTCAGTTGTATTTTTCTATATAATTAAGGAGTAAGGGTTTGCTTTCTTATTCCACCATCTTAACAAATGGCATACATTTCTGCAGACCGGACGTCACCTTCTCTGTCCACCCCACCGCCTGCCCAGCCTCCGCGGAGCCCCACTACGGCTGGACCAGGGTGGCTTGGTCACCGCTGATGGCCACCCACACTGGGGGCTCCTGAGGGTGGGGGCTGCCTGGCTATCTCTCGTAGTGATTCCCCAGGACAACCTCTGTGCATTTGCGGGTGGGAACACGGTTCATCCCGTGGGGCCTCCCGGACAGACAACACCCCGGGGCAGGCATCTTGGTGTTTTGCCTAGGGAGAGGGTCCAGTACTTTCTTCAGATTCCCAGTCAGGAGGTTGAGAAAGTTCAAGGGCTGAGGCCAGCGTGACTCTCCTGGTTTCCCTCCTTCCATTCATTCTTTAAAAAAAAAACAAACTTTTTTTTGTAGTAGAATATACATAATGTAAGATTTACCGTTAAGACCACTTTTAAGGGGACAGCTCAGAGGCATCAGGCACGTTCACATTGTTGTGCAGCCATCACTGCCAGGACTTTCTCATCATCCCCAACTGAAGCTCTGCCCCCACTGAACACTCCCCCCAACCACTCCCCCAGCTCCCGGCCCCACCATCCACTTCCTGTCTCTGTGGGTCTGACTCCTTGGGACATCCTGTGAGTGGGTCCTGCACACTGTGTCCTTCTGTGCTGGGCTCACCTCACTTGGCGTGATGTCCCTCCACCGTGGGTCAGGAGTGTCACCAGCTGGATGCAGCAGGGCCTTGAAGGCACAACAGGGACCCTTCTTGGTCCCCGGTCGGATCCCCTGCAGGGCCCACTCCACACCCCGTGAACACACTCACGTTTTCCCGGGCCCCTGTGGTCCCAGGGAAGCTGTCTGCTTGGCCCTTAATCTCTGCTGCCCATTTGCCCAGATTAGCTGCTGCTCTAGATCGTTCTGTCGAGACCTTTGTGACCGTGACTCACCTTTCCTACATGCAGAGCGATTACTCATTTCCTGATACAAACAGCTAATAGCTTTCATGTGCTTCTCTCCAGACTTCACATGCCTAAATGTTTGGAGCTCTTGATCCTGGAAACCAACATTGCTGGTTATAATTGGGACCATTGTGGGTACGGGTGACCACTCGGCCTCAGTGACTGTCCTGGGGCATCAGGAGGCCTCCGAGGGTTAAGGGGACCTCAGTGGGACCCCCAGGGTCTCTGCAGGCTGTCACGCCCCTGCCCACAGCCTAGGGGGGGGCCTCCCGCCACCCTTGCCATCAGGCACTGGAGTGACCCGGCCAGAGGCCACCAGGGACACTCAAGGGACTGTCACTGTGGCCCGCTGTGAGTCACTCTGGCTTCCAGAACCTCCTTGTCACTTGGCACCTGTTCCCTAGAAGGAGGCACACTGGAAGCTCAGCTCTGGCTGCAGGGGACATTTGGGGGCTAGGAAGGGGCAGGGGTGCATGGAGCCATTCGGAGCACCTTTCCAGATGAGCCACGCTGTTCAGGGTATTTTTAGCTGGCGCAGGATCCGGCACGTGGCGCAGCAGAAATAGAAGAGGCTCCTTCAGTTGTTCTGGATCTGACAGCCTCTGGCTCTTGGGGAGCCAGGCTGGGGCTGGGGTGGGGCGGTGCTTGTGGAGCACAAACAACTGCTGCTGTTTGGAGAAAAGTGGCGGGACGAGGAGTTGTGGATGGGGATCATTTCTGCTGGTGAGCACACTTTCTGTAAATGCCATGGCGCCAGCATTGGCGCTCCGCTCTCCGGGTCTGCGTAGTCACAGCAGGCTTGGGGGGCGGGGGGGCAGCCGGGCAATTATGTTTTAAAATATCACCCTGGTTGTTTTTTCCTGTGCTCCCCGAGCCCCTGGGTAATTCTGGGTCTGGAAGAGTCTGCCTGCTCTCTGCTGATCTGACCCCACCGGCCTTCCTCAGAGTGCTGGGTGGAAATGCTCCCTGACCCCAGAGGGGCCACCCTTCTTGATGGCTGCCCTGATCGGTGCTGCAGTCCCCCCCCCCCAGGGCTCTGCTCACTTGGGAAATCTGCCTCCTTCGTCCGGAATTTGGCTGCAGGCAACGGAAGTCACAGGGTGCCACCCACATCCTGGGCACACTGGCGAGTGCCTCCCCAAGAGGGACTGAACCCCGAGAAGACAGGGTGGAGGGTGGCCTGGGGGTCCCTGATGGGGGCTGGGGAGAGGCTAGAGCAGCAGGTGGGTCTCAGCACCCCCAGCCCACCCTCAGGACTGGAACTGACCATCCTGTGGTTTGGGGATGCTCACCGTCCAGGGGCTGGGCAACCGTGACTCTTCTCCCACGAGAGCTTGGTGCAAAGATAACTTGGGGCTCATTCACGCTCACACTGTCCCCGGTTCTGGAAGTCTGGGACTGAGGACCCTTCCTTGCCACCCTCCCTCCTGAGGCCCATTTACAACAGCCCTCACGTGGCTTCCAGGTCCTACCTGGCCTCCCCTACTCCCAGGCTCAGGTGCCTCTGCTGAATTTCCCTGTGACCCCTCAGGGGGTGTCACAGTAAAGAGAGGATAGGACACTGGCCAGCCCGCAGGGCCAGGTGCACCTGCCTCTGACCATCTCTGAGTGGCCTTGGGTCTCCTCCCAGCAGAGCCACTGCCCTGAGCCTGAGGGAGGAGCAGCTTCCAGTTTGGCCTAGCTCTCTGGGCTTTTGAGCCCCGGGAGGTTTTTACAAGCCGCGCCCTCCCGCCCAGGGGTCATTAAGGCTTCTGACGTGAGCCGGGGTCCTCAGCAAGGAAAACCCAACCCTGGGAGGCCATCTGAGCAGCCGGGGCCCTTCCAGCCTGCAGGCCCCACCTGGGCACCGTGTGGCCAGGTGGGCGAGGTGGGGACAGGCCCCGGGGCCTTCACCTGCAAGCCTGCCGCCCAGCCAGGGGGGCGGGGCCCGCCCTGGGGCAGCTGTGATTTCTCAATGACAGCAGCAGTCGGCAGCAGGTGGCCCTCCAGGGAGGTGACGCAGAGTTTCCCATTTGCTGGGGGCACAGATGAGGGAGGCAAGGCCCCTGCCCTCTGTCTGGGCGGGACGGCCTTGAGTGCAGGCCACAGGGTGAAGCGAGCGAGACTGAAGGGGGAGGCTGCAGGGCTGGTTAGGAAGTGGATCTGCGGGGAGCCTTGCTCTGTGCAGGCCTCTCGCTGACCCTGCAGTGACCGGCGGGCGGGCTGGATCCTCGGCAAGAAAATGAGGAGGGGGTGGCAGGGAAATGCAGGGAAGGTGCAGTGCAGGAACTGGGGGCTTGCTTGAAGGGTCTTGGTGTGTGGTGCCTGGTGAGGTTGGGTCCTGTCCACCGTGGGGGCCTCTACGTGGCTTCTGTCCTCACCTTGCCTGGCTGCCTGTTGGACCCCCTGGGGGCTGGGCACTCCCTGCAGGCCAGGGACAGCCCTCAGCTCCCCCGCCAGTGGGTGCATGGATGGGTAGGAGGCTCCAGGTGGGCCAGTCATCTGCCCGATGTCCTGTGTGCCGTTCCTGTGCCCACGTGTGGCATGGGGACATCAGAGGGGGCCTCTCCCACTCCCTGAGCCCAGCACCCCATCACAACTGCAGGTTTGGGTACACTCAGGGGTCCCCGAATGTCCCCCCAGCAGTGGTTTGTCAGGGACATTCCCAGACAGCCCAGAGGGCTGGAGCCGGCCCTCGGAGACACGGTGTCTGCCCTGAGGCTCTGCCACCGCCTGGCTTTACTGCGGGCAAATATTTATGGAGCTGCTCTTGGCCAGGAGTACATGGTGCAGCCTCTGGGGAAGGGCCCGCTCACAGAGGGGCTGTCCCCCCACCTGTGGAAGGGGGGCTGCTGTGAGAAAACAGGCCGCGGGAGGGGGTGACAGTACGAAGTCTATTCCTCTCCCAGCCTCCGCCCTGGTCCAGCCAGGCCATCCTCTGTCCAGTGCCCTGAATGTGCTGCCCCTTCCAGCCCTACCCCCAGCCCTGAGCTTTATTCCTGCTTGCCCTGCAGGCCTCTGCCTGGTGGGCACCCAGCCTGGGTGGGTATCCCTCACCTGCCTTCCCTGCTCCCGCGTTCATGCCGCTCCTCCCTGCAGAGGGCTGCACCACGTGGCAGGGAGCGGGTCTGACCCGGCCAGGTCTGGGTGGGCAGGAGAGCCGTTCTCCTTTGTCCCTGCCGGGGCTCGGGTGGGACGCCCCTCACCGGGTGGACTCTGTGTCCACAGTGCAAGAGAAGCCGGAGCCAGTGCCGCTGGAGAGCCGCTCCTGCGTCCTCATCCGCCGCGACCTCGTGGCCCTGCCCGCCAGCCTCATCAGCCAGATTGGGTACCGCTGCCACCCCAAGCTCTACTCCGAGGGGGACCCTGGCGAGAAGCTGGAGCTGGTGGCAGGTAAGGCTTCGCCCGACCCTGTCCGTTGTATGCAAATGTCCTCCCATTTAGCTTTTCTTCCAAGCTATGAACAATGTACTCATCACCAATCAGTCAAAAAAAAAGAACATCTTAAATTTCCTCTAATTTCCTTTTAGAAGAATGTGTCATTAAGAGGAGTTATTCAATTGAATTAATTTAGCATTTTAATTGAATCCCCTGGGCTGGTCGTACTTCTGATTGGCAGGGGCTGCAATCACGATTGTGTTTTAATTTAGGTCTCAGATAAAACCAAGTCCCGCACAGTTTACTAGTGTCCCCGCCCACCCCCAGCCCCCCAAGTGTCCAATTGCCACATTGTGGGGGTGGTAATGACCAGAGGTTCCAGACGGCAGCTCCCAGTCAGAAATGGACTAATTTCTTCTGTAAAAACAAACAACACACTGGGGCCCAAAGCCCATTAGGGCTGGTGCCTGTTGGAAATGCTTATTTCCTCGGTGTTGGGAGTCACTCTGCCCCGCGGCGCCTTGTGGGTTTTTAAGGCTGTTTGACCGGCAGATGAGAACTGATGGGTCTGGCACCCGGGCCGCTGGGCCTGAGCCGCTCATTCGCCACGAATTCCTCCCTTGGTTCACCCGGGCCCCTCCTGGGCACAGGCTGGCCGGGGACGCGCCTTCCCGCGTCCTCAGTGCTCCAGGCGGTCCCCAGGGAGGTCTGTCCGCCAGCGTTCGGGGTTGGGAGGGGCGCAGGCGGCGCCTTCCCTGGCTGCGCCCCACTGCCCCAGGCCACCTGCTAAGCCCCGCTTTACAGACTTCCCTCCAGCGAGGGGCTGTCTGTCCTGTGTGGTTCAGGGTGAGCTGCTCTCCTGTTGGGTTTGAGGTTCTGTGGACCTGAGAGGGATGGACCTGAGGCCTTTGGGGCACCTGGTATGTTGTGGCCAGGGATGATGGGGTCATGCTGAGCAGACGCCTGATGGTGGTCTTCATCCAGAATCATCCAGGCGCTTCTTGACCAGTGGCTGCGGGCTTCCCTGGAGACCTGCCTCACGTGGGGAGGGTGAGCAAATTGTTAAGCTGGGGAAGGCCCCCCAAAGCTGGAGTGGCAGCCTTCCCTGGGATCCTGGCACCTTCTGCCCTGCCCCCCAAGAAAGGAACGCTGCCTGGTCCTTGTATCCCCCTAAGAAGATTCCATATGGCTCTGTAAAAAGTCAGATCACAGAGAAAGGCCCACATGAGACTGTGGAGGTTCCCGGACCCAGTGTGCCCCGGGAGCTCTGCATGGGCCCTTTAGGTTCCTCAAGCATGGCTGCTCTGAGCTGGCCCAGATGACACTCGCGTGAGCTCCTTTTTCCAGGGCAACATCCTGGTCAACAGAGGCCTCCCTGTGGCTCTGGTGGGGACGGGTCAGAGCTGGCTGTTGTCCCCGTCCTTTGTCGGCCTGAGCTCAGAGGGTGGGGAGCTGGCCTTGCCAGCCTCCTGCAGGGTAAACAGCATCACTGGTCCCACCTCTGCCCTGGGCTGACTCTTCCCTCCCCGCAGGTCCACGGGGAGAGGTCAGTGCTGGAGCTGTGGAAGCTTCAGCCCAACCTCCATAATTCTAGCTCCCCCATCACTGCTGTGGCTCTTTGGTGTTTGGAAAGGAGCTGAGAGATGGGATGAGTGTTTCCCAAAGCCAGGGCAGATCCAGGAGTGCCCTCAAGGCAGGGAGGGCAGTTTGGGGTCAGCCCTTTGAAGCATGTGACCGAGGCTGCCTCCTCCTGGTGACAGAACCTCAGCGCAGCAGGGAGGGCCTTGGGGTGGGGGCTGCTCTTAGAAGTCAGGAAGGCCTCTGGGGCCCCACTCAGCCCCCCTCGCCTTGCAGTAGCCTCTCTGGGCCCCACAGACCCCGGGGCAGCTGTGGCCCTGGGAAGGGGACCTCACTGTCGTGTCTGGTGGCCGCAGGCTCTGGCGTCTACATCACTCGTGGCCAACTGATGAACTGCCACCTGTGCGCAGGAGTGAAGCACAAGGTCCTGCTGCGTCGCCTGCTCGCCACCTTCTTTGACAGGTAGGCGCAGAGACCTCTGGGACCTCCTTGAGGTGAGGCTGCGTTACGGCCCCACACCTTCCCAACTCACACTGGCTGTCAGCCCCCAGCTGTTGGCAGGACCTGGGTCTGGGGAGGGCTTGTGGCCCCCCAAAGTGAAGGCTCCATGTCATGGCGGGTTGGGGGGCTCCTTCCCCTAAGAGACGGGGTGCTCCCCACCCTACACCCCAGCCCCCAGGAAATAAACACCAGTCTAAGGGTGATGTGGGCAGGCATGCAGGCAGGACCCCATTCCTGGTGATCACTCTGGCCTCATGTAGCCTCCTCTCCTGTCCATCCACCAGGAACACGCTGGCCAACAGCTGTGGTACCGGCATCCGCTCCTCCACCAGTGACCCAAGCCGCAAGCCGCTGGACAGCCGAGTCCTAAACGCTGTGAAACGTAAGAGGAGAGCTAGGGTCTCCAGGGGGCGGGTCTCAGCCTTTACGGCGGCACCTCCCCCAGGGGCGGGCTGGGCGGCAGCGCCGGGGGAGAAATGAGCAGCTCGCGGGGGCCGATTGCGAGGTGTTAACGTTCTTGGTAGGTTTCCAAGCGTGATGAATTCAGCTGCGAAACTATTTTAATATGTGAAATAGATCTAATTTTCCTTTTTGAACAAAACCCCTTATTTACATTTTGGGGTTATTTTGAGCCTTTGCCATCTGCTCAGCCTGCTTCTGCCTCCGCTCTTGGGCATGTGGGGGCGGAGCCCAGTCCCTCTCCGCAGCAGACCGCCGCCCCCGGGCCCCCAGATGAGGAGGAAGACGCTGGTGCCCGGCATGCACGGGCCAGACTGGCCAAGAGCACGTCCTCCGGTAGCTGTCAGCACCCAAAGCACTTAGTTTTCTTGCCTAAAAAATCACTCCTGAGACTAATCCTGTTTTAGAGCAAAGAAAGGCCTTTGCAGCCGGTGATTGCATCCCGAAGCGTGGGGGTGCCTGCAGGGGCTCTGGGAAGATGCAGGGAGGGGGTGCGACTGATGCTGCCCCACAGCAGGGCTCATGATGTGAGGGGCTCGCTCCGGGGACCTGCCTCCGGGTTCCCTGCTGTTTGGAGAGGGGGGCCTCACGGGTCCTGGTGGAGAGAGGAAGGGAGGGAGCTTTGTTACCGTTGCTGGTGATGGGACCACTGCTGCTGGGCTAGGGCCTCCGGCTGGGGACGCCAGGCGGGGACAGGTGTCCACCAGCTGCTGCCTCACTCCTTACCAGCCTTCCTTCAGTCCGGCCGGGAGAGGCCTGAGCCTCACAGCTAGTTGGGTGCCCAGGTCCTGGTCTGGTTCCTGCTCCGGCCAGGGCAGGGATGCTATCAAGCTTGTCTGACCAGACCCTCAAGCACAAGGTGGGTGGGACAGAGTGGGAAAGTGAGGCCCAGAGATGGAGGCCTGCCCAAGGTCACACAGCCGGCCAGTGGTCAGGAGGGGCCAGAGCCCCAGGCCCTCTGTGCTCCTGCTGGACCACAGCCTGTGCCCCATGTGCTCTGAGCGTCCCAGCCAGAGACCGTCCCAAAGCGGCAGGGCGGGGCCTCCAGAGCCCACAGTGAGGAGGGTGACCGCTGGCCTTAAAGTTGACCCGAGAGAGGCCTGGGTGGCCAGGTGGTCTTCCTTGCCAGAGGGGAGCGGTGGAGGAGACCCTGGAGGTCCCCTTACCCCCACACCGGCCCAGCAGCGGCCGCTCTGGCCCAGAAGCGCCCTGACCTCCAGCTCGTCCAGGGCATCTTGGTCCTGGGGCCCCTTGGGAGGAAGCAGGTCTGCATCGCGGGACTCCTGCAGGCGGGTGGCCACTCACACCACCCCCCCGCACCCTGTCCTTGCAGTATACTGTCAGAACTTCGCGCCCAGCTTCAAGGAGAGCGAGATGAACGTGATCGCCGCAGACATGTGCACCAACGCCCGCCGCGTCCGGAAGCGCTGGCTGCCCAAGATCAAGTCCATGCTCCCTGAGGGCGTGGAGATGTACCGCACGGTCATGGGCGCCTCGGCCGCCAGCACGCCCCTGGACCCCGAGTTCCCGCCCGCCGCGGCGCAGGTGTTCGAGCAGCGCATCTACGCTGAGCGGCGGGGTGACGCAGCCACCATCGTGGCTCTGAGAACTGACGCCGTGAATGTCGACCTGAGCGCCTCCACCAACCCCGCCTT